GCTGAGGACCAAGTACGTTATTGCAATGTAAAGTCTTTAGATTGGTCCTCAGCTAATAATAGTCATGCCCTTGGTGACAAATGTTTAATATCTTATTTACTATTTTCCTGTTTAAGGATTTATTTATTTATTTGAGAGGCAGAACCACAGAAAGAGAAAGGAAGAGACAGAGAGAGAAAGGTCTCCCTTTCTTTGATTCACTCTCCAAATGGCTGCAAAGGCTGGAGCTGCAATGATCCGAAGCCAGGAGCTTCCCCCAGGTCTCCCATGCAGGTGCAGGGGCCTAAACACTGAGGCAGTCTTCCACTGCTTTCCCAGGCCATAGCAGAGAGCTGGAGCAGAAGAGCAGCAGGGGGCCAACGCTGTGGTATAGCAGGTAAAGTGGCTGCCCGCAGTGCCAGTGTCCCGTATGGGCGCCGGTTTGAGTCCCTGCTGCTCCACTTCCAATCCCGCTCTCCGCTATGGCCTGGGAAAGCAATAGAAGATGACCCAAGTCCTTGGGCCCCTGCATCTATGTGGGAGACCCAGAAGAAGCTCCTGGCTCCTGACTTCAGACTGGTGCAGCTCCGGCCATTGCAGCCAACTGGGGAGTGAACCAGCGGATGGAAGACCTCTCTCTCTCTCTCTCTCTCTCTCTCTCTCTCTGCCTCTCCTTCTCTCTCTGTGTAATTCTTACTTTCAAATAAATAAATAAATCTTAAAAAAAAAAGAAGAAGAAGAGCAGCAGCTGGGACACAGCTGGAGCTGCAGGCAGAGGTTTAGCCCACTATGCCACAGCACTGGCCACGAGGATTTCACTCTTTTTTATGACACTATTCCGTTGCATATGTAAAAGCTCTTCAAAGGCTTCATGGAGGGGCAGGCATTTGGCCTAGTGGTGAAGACCTGGTTATAGTTCCCGTGTCTCACATCAGAGTGCTTGGGTTCAATACCTGACTCCAGCTTTCTGCTAATGCAGTCCCTGGGAGGCAGCAGTAACAGCTCAAGTGATTGCATTCCTGTCACTCATGGATTGAGTTTCCATCTCTTGACTTCATCCCAGATTACTGCAGATATTTGGGGAAGTGAAGCTGCAAAGGGGAACTCTTTCTCTCTCTCAAATTAATAAATAAGTAAAATTTAAAGGAAGAGCTGAGTATTATGGATGGCATTATGACATAATGGGTTAAACCACAGGCTGCAATGCTGGCATCCCATATGGGTGCCAGTTCAAGTTCCAGCTGCTCTACTTCTGATCCAGCTCTCTGGTATGGCCTGGGAAAGCAGCAGAGGCTGGCCAGAGTCCTGGGTGCCTTGTACCTATGTAGGAATCCCAGAAGATGCTCCTGGCTCCTGGCTTCAGCCTAGCCCATCTCTGGCTGTTGTGGCCACTTGGGGAGTGAACCAGATGATGCAAAATCTCTCTCTCTCTCTCTCTCTCTGGGTGTATGTCTTCCTCTTTCTCTCTAACTCTGCCTTTCAAATTAATAAAAGATAGATCTTTTAAAACATTGACACCAGAATAAACCTATCTTTTAATTCTATCTTACAAAAAACTTTTTGAAATACCCTCATGTAAACCACATTTTATTCATTTATTCATCCACTGGAGGATACTTAAATTGACTTTATATCTTCGGTATTGTGAATAGTGCTGCAGTGAACAAGGGGGTGAAGATTATGTTTGACGTATTGATTATCTTTCCTTTGAATATATATCCAGTGGTAGGATTACTGGATTAAAAGATAGTTCTATTTCTATTTTTAGAGGAACTTCTGTACTGTTTTTCATAATTGCTGTACAAATTTACATTCCTACCAACAGTGTATAACAGTGCACTTTTTTTGCAACCTCAATAGAATTCATTATTTTTGGTCTTTTTTTTTTTTTTGACAGGCAGAGTGGACAGTGAGAGAGAGAGACAGAGAGAAAGGTCTTCCTTTTCCGTTGGTTCACCCCCCAATGGCCGCTACGGCTGGCCGGCGTGCTGAGGCCAGCGCACCACGCTGATCCAAAGCCAGGATCCAGGTGCTTCTCCTGGTCTCCCAAGCAGGTGCAGGGCCCAAGTACTTGGGCCACAGCAGAGAGTTGGACTGGAAGAGGAGCAACCGGGACAGAATCCGGGGCCCTGACCGGGACTAGAACCTGGTGTGCCGGTGCCACAGGCAGAGGATTAGCCTATTGAGCCACGGCGCTGGCCTATTTTTGGTCTTTTTAATAATAAGCCATTCTGATTGGGAGGAGATGACATACAATCTTGGTCTTCATTTGCATTTCTCTGATAATAAGTAATGCTGAACATTTTTCTTTTTTCTTTTTTTTTAGATTTGCTTTTTCTTGTTTGAAAGGCAGATTGACAGAAAGAGGAAGAGACAGGGAAAAGGGATCCACCCTTCCACTGGTTCACTCCCCAGATGGCTGCAATAGCCAGGGCTGGGCCAGGTCAAAGTCAGGAGCCTGGAATTCCATCTAAGTCTCCCACACAGATGGCAGGAGCCATCTTCTGCTGCCTTCCCCGGTGCATTAGCAGGGAGCTGGATCAGAAGCAGAACAGCCGAGACTTGAACTGTAACTCTGAAATGGAATGCCAGCATGGTGGACATTGGTTTAACCTGCTGTGCCACAACACCAGTCCCTGAACATTTGTTCAGGTATTTGTTGGCTGTTTATAGATTTTGAGAAATGTATATTGAAATCACTTGCTCATTATAAAGTAAGATTGCTTGAGTTTTGAGAGTATTTTATATGGTCTGCATATTAATCTTGAGTGAATAGTTTGCAAATATTTTCTCCACTTCCTTAGGTTGTTTTCACGCTGTTGATTGTTTTTTCCTCTGTGCAGAAAGCAGCTCTTTAGTTTGGTGTAATCCCATTTGTCAATGTTTTCTTTTGTTGCCTGTGTTTTTGGGATCATACGCAAACAATATTAGCCCAGACCAATGTCTTGAAGCATTTTCTGTATGTTTTATTTCTGAAAAAGAGTTTACTCATTTATGTTTATATACTTGAAAGGCAGAGTGAGAGAGAGGGTGACAGAGAGACAGATCTTCCAACCACTGTTTCACTCCCCCGGATGCTCACAATAGCCAGGGCTGGGCCAGGCTGAAGCTAGTATCTGGGAATTCCATCTGATTATCCTACATGGGTGGCTGGGGCCGAGGTACTTGAGCCATTATCTGCTGCCTTAGCAAAAAGCTGTATTGGAAGTGAAGGAGCTCTAACTTGAACCAGCATTCTAATATGAGATATGGGTATGCCAAGTGGCTGCTTAACCCATGGCACCACAATGCCTATGCCTATATTTTCTTTTACTAGCTACATAGAGTTGAGTCTTAGATTAAAGTAATTTTGAGTTGTTTTTGTATATAGCAAGAATTAGGGGTCTAGTTTCATTCTTCTGCTTATAGATATTCAATTTCATCAACACTATTTGTTAAAGAGACTGTCTTTTCTCTGATGTATGTTTTTGGTGCTTTTGTAAAAAATCAGCTGCTGTAAATATGTGGGCTTATTTTTGGGCTTTCTATTCTGTTTCATTGGTCCCTGTGTGTTTTTATGCCACACTATGGTTTTTGTGTTACTACAGCTTTGTAGTATATTTTGAAATTAGGTTTTGTGATGGCTTCACCTTTGTTCTTTTTGTTCAAAATTGCTTTGGCCAGTAGATGTCTTTTGTGATACAAATTTTAGGGTTGCTGAACAGCCAGAGGCTTAGACTGGAAAATACAGTCTCTAAACCAAGATGTTGGACTTTTACAAACTTCTGACTCTGCAAAAGTAATCTAATCTGGCCAGCGCCGAGGCTGAATAGGTAATCCTCTGCCTGCGGCGCTGGCACCCTGGGTTCTAGACCCGGTCAGGGCGCCGGATTCTGTCCCGGTTGCCCCTCTTCCAGTCCAGCTCTCTGTTCTGGCGCGGGAGTGCAGTGGAGGATGGCCCAAGTCCTTGGGCCCTGCACCTGCAAGGGGGACCAGGAGAGGCACCTGGCTCCTAGCTTTGGATCAGTGTGGTGCGCCGGCCGCGGTGCCCTGGCCGCAGCTGCCATTGGAGGGTGAACCAACGGAAAAGGAAGACCTTTCTCTGTCTTTCTCTCACTGTCCACTCTGCCTGTCAAAAAAAAAAAAAAAAAAAGTAATCTAATCTGTACCTACACGTTGAGAAAATTCCAGGGCCATTACAAGGCAAAACCAAGCTCAGATCCGAGGAAAGGAGTTCTTCCTAAAGAGAAAAATAATGCAGATAACACAGGAATCAATCTATTTTATAACGTGAAATTCCATCTCAGTTTCCTAGGATCACTGGAATAACACCCTACTGCAGAAACACCATTTCGGTAGACCTGGCTATTTCAAGACCTGAAACAACTCTGGCATTTCTTGCGTTCCCTGGCATTGTTAGGGACGTTGCTCTCAGCTGCTCTCATTGTATGCTCACAACAGATAAAAGGAATTAACTGCCCATATTTTCGGGTTCTGGAAGCAGGTATTGGAGGTTTTGCGCTTGCCCAGGTTCCACAGCTGATGAGCGCAACGAATTTTAAACTCTTGCAACAGCGCAGTGTTAGAAGCTCAAGGACTTGGGTCACATTAGATACCATCAGTACTCATTCGCCGTTCAAAGCGTCGCGTGTGCTCGGAGGTCAGCAGGTTGAGTCACTAGGCCGACCCCGGAAGCGTAGACGAGGGTCTGTGCAAAACTTGGGGGACTGAAGGGTGGTTTGTCTCCCCGTTTTGTGTCGCTAGAGTGAGGAGTCTGTATAGCTGTGGTCTCCACACACTGTGCGTCCCCATCTCTCGGTGGCTTTGTGGCTCTTTGCGCCCAGGGGTGCGTCACGAAGAGCGTGCTAGGTTTTTGCCTCCTGCTGTATCTAAGGGGCAGCGAGAAGGAGCGCGGACCAGGGTTCAAACTGCACCGACGCCGCAGGGTGCAGCCATTTACCCCGGGCCGCGGCTCCATCCCCTCGGATTATCGTTTCTCGGATGCCGGTGCTGCCGGGAGAGCGCTCAGCTGACCTGGGGGCGGGGCCAGGCCCCGGGGGCGGGTCCCGCGGCCCGCGGGCGCCGAGAGCTAGATCTTGGGCTTCTTCCGAGCGGTCCGAGTGGCTTTCCCTTGGGTCCGCACCTGCGTCAGGAGCCAACCGCTCTGGTCTCTGTAGCAGCGGGTTCCCGAGATGCGCCTGCATCTGTTCCTGCTGCTCGCGCTGTGCCCGGCGAGCTGCACCGCCCGGACGCTCATCTACAGTCTGCGGGGGAGCTGGAGGATCCGCAACCAGAACGGCTCGCTACAGCTGCTCGGGACGGTCCCCGGCTGCGTGCACAGCGCCCTGTTCCAGGGGGGCCTGATCCAGGTATCGTGTGCGGCCCACTCGCGGGCAGCCTGCGAGTTCCCCTCGTGGTGAGAGGGGACCAGGAAGCGCCTGGCCGCCCACGAGCCCTGAGCTGTTGTCGGTTTGGCACTAACTTCCCCCCTTGGCGTGTTGCGGTGTGGAGGGGAAATGCCCCGGAATGGGGTACGGGCTCGCTAGACTGAGTGACGCAAGTGGAGACAGCGTATCTCTGGAAAGCGGAAGTTCAGGGAGAGACCCTGAGTTTGCACCAGCAGGCCACCTATTGCCTTAGCTGTCGACTGCAGCGTGTTTGCAGAGGGCGTGTCCTCACTGGAGCCTAAGGTGGAGCCTTAGCCCTGGGATTCACAGAGCACGTGGGTTGAGGCGAGTGAGACCCGCAAGAACACAGCTGGATTTGTCAGAGCTATTATAAAGGCTAAGTGTTTTGTTAGCGCTGACTGGGATTTGCGGGAAGATGTTCAGAGTTTGCTCCCAGGATGTGTGGAGTGTGTGTATGTCCTCAGATTCTCCAGGTCATCCGGAGCACCTGGGCTTCTTACATCTTGTCTTTTGAGATAAGAGGAACCTGTGCTTGATGTACCTGTGGGTTGAATGCGCTGTCCTCATTACAACTCTATAGAGCAGGTGTCCTTATCTGGATTTTATGCATGGTGAGGCTTGTGGAACCAGAATATTCCCAAAATTACACAGCAACTAAACTGAGAGAAATACAGTTGTAACCTGGGCCATGGCCCAACTCCTTAGCCTGGATTGTACTCTATGATGTGGTGCGTGTTTGGAGCACTGTGGTTGACTGGCAGGGGGTATCATTCTTGTTTACTTCACTGACATGGCAATTGACTAGGTTTGTATAAGATTTATGATCTGCTTACTCAGTAGTCCTCCCCCTCCATGTGTATAGGAAAGGAAATAACTGTTTAAAATGACACTAAGCACTGTTAAATATATTTTTAACAAACTTTATTGAAACTTCAGTACTTTATTTTTATTTATTTATTTATTTTTTGACAGGCAGAGTGGACAGTGAGAGAGAGAGAGACAGAGAGAAAGGTCTTCCCTTGCCATTGGTTCACCCTCCAAAGGCCGCCGCAGCCAGCATGCTGCAGCCAGCGCACTGCGCTGATCCGATGGCAGGAGCCAGGTACTTATCCTGGTCTCCCATGGGGTGCAGGGCCCAAGCACTTGGGCCATCCTCCACTGCCTTCCCGGGCCACAGCAGAGAGCTGGCCTGGAAGAGGGGCAACCGGGACAGAATCCGGCGCCGCGACTGGGACCAGAACCCGGTGTGCCGGTGCCGCAAGGCAGAGGATTAGCCTAGTGAGCCGTGGCACCGGCCTCAGTACTTTATTTTTAGTTAAGCTACATGTGATACAGACCACAGCTGATCTTGATGCATTGAGGCTTCATTTACACATGCTTTGAAAATGCCTGTTTTTTTTTTTTTAAAGATTTATTTTATTTATTTGAAAGAGTTACAGAGAGGCAGAGACAGAAAGGTCTTCCATCCACTGGTCACTCCCCAGATGGTCGCATCGGCTGGAGCTGTGCCGATCTGAAGCCAGGAGCTTCTTCCAGGTCTCCCACATGGGTGCTGGAGCCCAAGGACTTGAGCCATCTTCTATTGCTATCCCGGGCCATAGCAGAGAGCTGGATCAGAAGAGGAGGAGCCAGGACTAGAACCCGTGCCCATATGGGATGCCAGCACTTCAGGCCAGGGCTTTAACCCACTGCGCCACAGCGCTGGCCCCTGGCTTCATTTTGTAGGGTCTTTTCCTTGCCTTATTTTATTAATAGGATTGAACCAATGGAAAATAATTAGTGACTTTAGCAAATCAGTTTGTCCCTTGTTACAGGGTTCCATATCAGGAAACAGTGTCTGGTTACTACCTAATGAGAAGTATTGTTTATATTATACAATAACCAACTTTACCTCATACACAATGCCTGTTAAATCTCTTCAGTCATTCTTAGAAACACTTGAAGTTTCAATAAAATGGATACGGGTCTCCAGTGGTGGTGGGTGAGGTGACAGACACCCTAACAAGAGGGACTCCATTTTAGAGCTCCCAGGAGTCCATCTTGAGAAAGTACCACTCCCCAGCCCCTTGAGACTCTGGTCTGAAACTAACTATGGTCTAAAACTCAGACAGTAACCCTTCATCCCACTTAGCAGAACATAGAAACTCCCTAGCGTGATCGCTCAAGCTTAAAACAGATAGGCTGCACTTGGATTAATGTTAAGATTGTAATTTGTTGGGCTGGTGCTGTGGTGCCGGCATCCCATATGGGCACCAGTTCACGTCCCAGCTTCTCCACTTCTGATCCAACTATTTCTGATGGCCTGGCTTCAGATCAGCCCAGCTCCAGCCATTGAGACCATTTGGGGAGTGAACCAGTGGATGGAAGATCTCTCTCTTTTTCTGTCTTTCTTTCTCTCTCTGCCTCTGCTTCTCTAACTCTGCCTTCCAAATAAATAAATATTTAAAAAGATTGTAATTTGTCTATTGTCAAGATTGTAACTGATATTAGTTTCTCATAGGCCTTAGGTCAGCTTGACCCTAGTAACCATGTATTCCTTCTCTGTGTGGTTTTGTCTTTATAAACCCTGTTGCTTTGAGTTCTTTAGGGCATGAGCCTGCTCTCCACCATCGGCAATAAAGGACTGTCAGATTTTATTCATGTGTGGTGCTTCTCTGTTTGCACTCGCTCAGATACAACAGTGGGATGTGAGATGGGGGAGGCACTTGCTGGGTTAGGGAACACAAGGCCTATTGAGAGTAATTATCGCCATCAGCATCATTGTTGAGTAGTGTGATCCTGTTGTCCCACCTGTTTTTGATATAACATCCCTTTTTGTTGACTTCAGGAAACATTCAGTTGGTTACAGATGGATGACACTGAGCCCAATACTGTTTATAGGTGAACTTGAGACATGACTTGGCTGAGTTGGTCATTCACATAATTAACTGTCCTGCAAATATCCATTCAGCTTCTCTAATGTGGCAGGCATATTCTAAGTGCTTGAAATTGAATGGTGAAGAACAAGTTCTTTAACCCAGAGAACATGCTAGTGGTCGAGATAGACAGTTATCAACTTAAATAGGTAATGTAAGGAAAGCTGGTATACCAAAGAAAAATTGATGGCAGAATGAGGCTGGTTGAAAAGGTTTGCTATTAAGAAAAAGTGGTGGGGGCTGGTAATGTGGCACAGTAAGCTGAACTGCTGCCTACTACATAGGCCTGTATCAGCTCTGCTTCTTACCCAGCTCCATGCTAATGTGCCTGGGAAACATGGGAGACCCAGATTGAGTTCCAGGCTCATTTGGCCTGACCAATCAGTTGGTGCAGTCATTTTGGGATTGAATCAGCAGGTGGATGATCTTGCTCTCTTTTTGTCACATTCTCTTTCAAATAAATAAAAATTCTTATTTATAAAAGCTATTTGGAGCAACTGACTTTTTAATTTTTAATTTTTAAGATTTCTTTTATTTACTTGAAAGAGTTACATAGAGAGAAGGAGAGGCAGAGAGAGAGGTCTTCCATCTGCTGGTTCACACCCTAGTTGACAGCAATGGCCCGAGCTGTGCCAATCTGAAGCCAGGAGCCAGGAGCTTTTTCCAGATCTCCCACGCAGGTGCAGTGGCCCAAGGACTTGGGCCATCTTCTACTGCTTTCCCAGGCCATAGCAGAGAGCGGGATCAGAAGTGGAGCAGCCGGGACTCGAACCGGTGCCCATATGAGATGCTGGCACTGCAGGTGGCGGCTTTACCCGCTATGCCACAGCACCAGCTCCGCAACTGATTTATTATTTTTTTGACAGGCAGAGTAGACAGTGACAGAGACAGAGAAAGATCTTCCTTTTCCATTGGTTCACCCCCCAAATGGCCGCTGCAGCCGGCGTACTGCGCTGATCCGAAGCCAGGAGCCAGGTGCTTCTCCTGGTCTCCCATGTGGGTGCAGGGCCCAAGGACTTGTGCCATCCTCCACTGCCTTCGCGGGCCACAGCAGAGAGCTGGACTGGAAGAAGGGCAACTGGGACAGAACCGGCACCCCGACTGGGACTAGAACCCGGGGTGCCGGCGCCGCAGGCGGAGGATTAGCCTGTTGTGAGCCTCGGTGCCAGCCTCTGCAACTGATTAAGAAGAGACTTGATAAGGTCACATTTAAGGGGGGGGGAAAAAAAAACCACGAAACACATTCCTAGCAAAAAAGGAAGAGGCAGGAGTGGGAGGAGGTCATGCCCTGAGGTGGGACCCTACTTGACAAGCCCCAGGAATAGGAAGTGGGCCATGGAGCAGGAGCTTTGTGTGCTGGAGGGTGGAAGATGGGTTCACAGTGTGCTTTGAGAGCAGATCATGAAGGGCGAATAAGCCGTGAGAAACACCCTGGCTGTTTTGTGAAGACTACAGAATGGAGTAAGGCAGTACAGAGACCTGTACTCTGTAGGGGACTCTGGACAGTTCTGTGGGCAAGAGACAATGTCTCAGCTGCACCAGGGTGGTAGCAGTGAAATGGTGAGAATGGTTGTGGGAATACATTTTAGATGTGGAATCAACAGCATTTTTCCAGTTGTCTTGTTGATGAATTAGATGTGCAGAGTGAGAGAAAAGGGAACCAAGGAAAGTTTTAGGATTTTTGTTCTGAACTGTTGGCTAAATGGAATTGTATTTACTGAGAGACTCTGTGGCCAGCCTTGTTCCATGTGCAATTGTCTGCATTTCATATGCAGAATCTAAGCCTTAGATGTGCAGGGGCAAAAGGAACTTTGTTCCCCCTGAAGATTCAATAATTTTTTAAATTTTTTGACAGGCAGAGTGGATAGTGAGAGAGACAGAGAGAAAGGTCTTCCTTTGCCGTTGGTTCACCCTCCAATGGCGGCCACAGGTGGCGCGCTGCAGCTGGCGCACCGCGCTGATCCGAAGGCAGGAGCCAGCTGCTTCTCCTGGTCTCCCATGGGGTGCAGGGCCCAAGCACTTGGGCCAGCCTCCACTGCACTCCCG